ACACCTTATAGACCTTGCCTTTGTTTGCCTTATTGTTGAACATTTTTTCATATTTCTTTGCTACTTACCGACTCGCTGCGATTTCTGCCCAATGAAACAGCATTGAGACGTCATCCGATCACTCTCGAGTCTTCGAGACCTTATTGACTATATGAACTATGCGCACATAGAGATATTTCTATAATTACTAAACAAATGCCAATGTCAGGCCAATGCAACAACTGCAGCCACTGGTGGCAGCAATCACTTGGGGTATTACAACAGCAAACGATCATAATTATATGGCTGTCTTGGGCCGATCTCAGTTCAGCTGGGTTGAGCTGAGTGGAGCCGACTTGGGTGGACTTGAGTCGGTTTAAAGCGGTTCCCGCTGCCGTTTCGCCGCTTCACACTTTTGCTTGTGGAAAACCTAATGCAAGACGATCTACGACCGCAGTCGCGGAAGATTGAAAAACATTTCGTAAAATAATTGTTGAGAAATTTGTATGGCCAAGAGAGCAATTACGAGGCGAACCAGACCAGCCCGAAAGCCCACGACTGACTTTCCTAGCCAGCTGCCATACCGCTTCCCCATCCCCGAACCCTTCCCCTCCCAAAACCCCGCCCCTGCGCCCTTGTGTCGCCCCCTCTTCGCGACCAAGCTCACACCATGGGCCGCTTAATGACCCTATTTTAATTTCAAGCATCGCTTGTCCATCGCACTTTGCGGAATTTACATTATACGCATACATATTTCTCAGTCGCTTATTTCGGTTTTCGCTTTTTTTTTTCTTTCCATGTTCCTCCGTTTTTTTGTAGCTTTTGAAAAGCCGCCCTGGAAATGGAAAACAGTGGAATGGAATACATTTTCTGAATAAACATATGTAAAATTAGTTTAAATTAAAAGCATATGGCAATTATGGCTGTAAGTGTGTTGATATATTAAAATAAGTTAAATAGTAGTTATACGTAATTATTATATTTTTATATATACGGCGTTTAAATAGTTCATATGCAGTTTTTAATGTTAAATACTTGCTTTATTTAACGATAACACATATGAATTCCTAAAAATGTTAATTTGTCAAATTGGGAAAAATGGTTTGTGGTCTATGATATAACAAAAGTCATTAAATTACCTTTCAAAACGATCTCTTAAATCTATGAATTGCAAACTTTAAGTTAAAGAAATAAAGTACTTTATAGTACTTTGTACCATAGTATTGTATTTTTTAAGCCTGAATATTTTCCCAATTTTCCATGATTTGTATACCACTATGCAATATCGTCTTGACGCTGAAGAAGCGACGAAGCAAAGTTGACTTTTGGACGCTAATATGACGACGATCTTGGCCTTTGGGCGAGGCAGCCATCAACAGCAGCAACAACAGCATTATCAACAACGCTAAAAACAATGAGAGCAAAAACAACAGTAACAAGCGCTAAGGAAGCCAGAAAAAAATATATATTTAAGACAATGGAAATTCATTTCATTCGCTGGGACTGAGACAGACTTCTTGGCCAAAGGCAAGGTCTCTTCGGTGGGATCCCCGTTTTGCCCCTTTTTTTCCCCCCGATTTCCAACCTTGCTCACCTCACCCTCTGAGAAATTAGCTGCTTCAGTTATTATTATCATTGTTGTTGCTTGCCAACTGGGCAGACGTTTCTATATCTATATAAGTGATCGTCGTAGCTGGCACTTCATGTTTGCCTTTCAACCTGCCTGTCTGTCTGTCTGCCTTCTCTTCTCCAGCTATGTTTTTTTTTTTCTGTGTTTTTGCATCCGCTTCCGCAGCAACAATTATTGTATTAGCAACAACAACGAACATTTTGTTACCCAAGAGATTTTATTTTTTTCATATTTTTGCTGCGCCCCCCCGGCGAAGTATGACCTCAAAAATGAAAAGTTAAAATGAAAAATATTTAATCTAATGTGAAAATCGCTGAAGCGTCATCAGCTTTTCATCCCGCTGTTCGCCTTTTGGAACTGATAATGACGACACGACAACTTTTCGTTGGGAGTGAGAAATCGTAACACTCGCTTATTGTTCTCCACTTTAAAGGCTCCTCCCCCCCACTTAGGTCATTATATGAATTTAGAACTTGGTTGGGAAGTTTTATGGTTTGGCAAAACTTTATTTGTTTAATTTTTGTTCTCATAAATCAGAAAAAATCTCATAAATGTAACCAGAATGCGACAGTTCTGTTGTTGATTTTTGATTACTCATACGCATAAGTATTTATTTGCAATGATGATTATTGAGAGGCAGGGGAAAAGGAACAAAGACCCAAGCTCAGTCACATGATTTTGCTGCACCGAAGAAAAATGCTACGAAAAAAGAGTTATAACTACTTTGTAATGATTTTACTAATGAATATTTAGCGTTTTATTTTATTAAAAAAATAAATGTGGGCAAGATGAGCAAACTGAGAAAGTCTGAAAATAGTTCTGTAACAAATGAATGTAATTAAAAGTATTAATTTAATTTAATTAGTTACTTTTTTTCGGTGTATCTCACTCGTGCATTATTTTCTCTCTCTTTTACTCAGTGATCACAACACCCGCACATGTAATGAACTGAATTGTTCGCTTGCTCGTGATTATTATCATGCCGTTTTAAGCTTTGCTTGATCATCATCATCCATTTGAGTGATTTACAAAACTGGGTGGGAAAAAGGGGGAGGCGATTTGTGATTCTGGGAGGTTGAGGTGGGGCCTTGCGTCTTGCGCAATTTTAATAAATATTTACATTTGTTTCAAACCAATTTGCGCAATTTGTGCAGCTGCCTGAGAAGATCTAACTCGTAGAACAAGGGGTAAAATTGAGTTGCATAAATTAATAAACGAGGTTCGCTTTGATGTTTTCATTTAGAAGAAGCATTTCGAATTTTTGTTATTTCTTAACTTATTAACTTAATAGTGTTCGTCATTTTTTTTATTTTATGTGAACCCAATTAATTTATTAAATATTAATTTAAAGCCAAATGATTCAATTATTATTTATCAATGCTTTATTAATTACCGAAGTTAAGGCTAAATAAATAATGTATTAAAGTATTTATAAATTTAATAGAAACATTTACAACTTTTATATCGGCACCCTAACAGCAAATAGCTTTTTGTCATTGTTTTTGATTTGGCGTGCGCTGCTCATTAGCCGAACAATTTATGACAAACAATTGCAATGAGTAAAACCAAATAGGTGGGGGGTTTAATGGGCTGCATGGGAGCTAGAACATCTATTAAAAGTTGTTTGGCTGCTATCAGTTTTAGCTAACTGAGGCCAAACTTGGCTCAGAGACAATGCACACGTGTGACATGAATGACTTCATGTCACCCAGCAAACCCCAACCTTATTCATGGGACAAACAGATGTGCGATTAGCAGATAAGTTTCCATTTTCGCCTCCCTATCCCGTGAAAATGGCTTTCTGATGGATCTCCCCATTGATATCTCTGGTTAGAGACACAAAGAGAGCAGTTCTAAAAAGGGGGGATTTGTAGGGGATGATCTCCTCTATTTTTATCAATGGCTTGCCATCATTGGCCATAACCAAAATTGGAACAATCAAGGCATAGGCCCAGCAACAGATGCCCGGCAGCAACAGCATCGAAAATAGTCTGGAATGCGACTAAATTTAGGCAGAGACAAAGATTCGTTCTGGGAAATAGGGATGGCGACACGTAAAAAAAACTATTTAAACTCTAAAACATAAGTTCTTAAAATCAGGAAGTCTATGTGTTATACAATGAATAATCTTGGAGTGGATATCCTAAACTCATAAGTTTGCGAAGCATATCAAATGAGAACAATTTTAACTAACTTGTAAAATCTTAAAAGAAATTTAATTAAAAATTTCTATAAATAAAATACAATCGTTACACACAAAAAATTATTTATTATTGTTATTGACCGGATATTTATATTTACTTTTAAAATCAGTTTAACATGCATTTATTTTTAGTGTAGTCTGTAAAGTGTGGGATGAGGGACATGCACTTACACATGTTCCAGACGAACTCAGAGGGCGAGTTCTCGGCTTCGACTTCGCCTTGTTGCGAGTGTGCGTATTAATAAAAGAAAGTGCAATGAATTCCCAAATATGTTAAATTGTCTACCAAACAAAGGGGCCCAACGATAAGTTGGGCGATGTCGGGATGGATGGTGATATAGGGGGAAAATGGGTGGCAGGGCCATGTTATTGGAACATGTGTGCAACAGATACTGAATGCGATTCAGGGAGTCTCGCTCTCGATTTTCCCCTCTTCTACTGCATCTCCGATTTTCCTAGTCCCTTCCCGAAGAAGTCTGCTCTGGCGTTGGATCGTAATTAAAATTGAAGTGGAGGCACTAAATTTAACAGCCCTCAATGATGAGGAGAATCAGGAGTGGGAGTGGAGTCGGTAGATCGGCTAGAGGCAAGAACAACCCTTTTGCGGTCATGATTAAAAAACAATTTAAAGTACATTTTTATTTAAGTAAATAATATTCTATTTGGTTAATAAAAAAAGTGTGTTTTGATTAACGAAAATGTAAACAAGAGAGAAAGTATTAAAAACTATGAAATAAGTTGGGCAGCGGATAAAATTTAAAAATTTGCGATAAATACTGAAGCATTTAAACATATTTATATTATTTGTTTCACTGTTTAAAAGAATAATAAACAAAACTTAAAACGTCTGTTATGTTTGTTTATTTAATATTAGATATACCGTATTCTAACTTAATTCGTATGCATTACAAGCTTATGCGATCATAATAATATACAAGAAAGATATAATATAATTATTCCAAAATTTGTTTTAAAGTCATAAAATTTAAAGCCGTCTAGAAATGTTTTATCCCTTTATTTCTTTATAACAACCTGTCCTTTTATGCACTACCATATCGTCTTGTATACATTACTTATTCCTTTGTTTCCTTTTTTTTAATCCGTGTTTCGGTCTCATTTGCCGAAAACAAACTTTCCCATTCATGTCCATCAACTGTATACACACATTATGCGATGTGCCACGCCCAGCTACAGCCCATTACATGGCCCATCATGCAATTAGTGGAACCAAACCCCCTAGACAAACCGCCACTCTTCGAAAAGCGCTCTTCGTGAACTTCCTTGCGGCTGCCACATATGAGTAAATACTATATAAGTGAATTCGAGTGCGAGTTTGTGGAAGCGGAGTACAAAGCCAACTATAAGCCAAGGATGGACATGGGATAGGAAATGGCTGAGGGAAATGGGGAATAACCTAGCCGTACCAAAAGAAAAGTAAAAACTCAAATGAAAAATCATACAAAAGGCGCATAAATTAGCAATGGTCTGTAATTCCAAAAAGGGTCGACGTCGACCGTCTCGCAAAGTGGCAGGGAAAATTTTCATAAATATTTTTTCTCTACAGAGAGCATTGGTCTAATAAGCAGGGTGAGTGGTGTAAGGCAGTTACAGTCGGCGTGCCTGCGACGCATTCATTAGTTTAATATTAAAATAGTCATCATAAACTGGTAGCTGAACGCCCGAAACAATGTGCAGCAAAACCAAAAGGCGGAGGATCAGCAAAGAATGTATCAGCAAGTACTAAGGGCCAAGATTTATGAACTGCAGTCAACGAGTCATAGTTATGTACAGCAGTGGTCAAAAATGGTAATAAGACGTAGGGCCCGGAAAACATTATAAAACATTAAAGACCCTGCATTCATAGCTGCAGTTCTATAAATTTAATATAATATAAATCTAATATAAATTTAGAAACTAAACAAAAAATAATAATAATACTTTTATTGAACAATATTTCTTATAACAGTTCCTCACATTTAAATGCTCTTTAAAGCAATATGAATTAATTTTGTTTATCTAAGATCTGAAAATAAATGTGAATAAACTTTTTAAGAAGTTTAATTATATATGAATTTAAATGAAAATTATTAATATGAAATAAAGTTAACAATGTCATTATTTTGACCGCAATCGTGAGTATCTGTGTGAAGTATCTCCTGTTGTGTGTGTGCGTCTTGGAGTCGTCCCAAAGTAGCCTGGCATCCCCCTTTTCCTACGATTGTCTCGCCCAAAGGGGAGCAATGAACTATTTACGATTGTAGTCAGGCACTCGTCTTTGCACTCAGATTCAGATTGAGATTCAAACTCGCACTCACTTTATGTAGTGCACACTGCCATAGTGGTTATGTGTAGGTTCTAGGGCGGGTTTTGTTGGGACCGAGATAAGTATTGTAATATTGTAATATGCCGCCATATCAGACATGCATATTTATGGACTTCGCAGCAACGGTCGCAAATGACCTTGAGGCATTTGAGGGCTAAAGCTAAAGGCGAAAATGTTCCCAGGCTGTGATGGGATAAAAAGCTGGAAAAACTGCTGATTAATTGTATTGCAGTATTTGCTCACTTCGCAAAAAATAAATTTTATATATATTTATCAGTTTCTAGCTGCTATCAAAAAATATCCAAATCCTTACACAAATATTTTAAGAAACATGTATATATTTTAAGTAAGGTGCTAACATATAATAATTTTCTTGTCTTTATGGTTTTCAAAAAAAGTATTTTTTAATTGTAAGTATCTATAAAACATAATCTCCTATTATCTCGAACTGCGGTCGAGAAAACAGGCCTCAGAGAAGAAAAGTATCCTGAATTTAAGTTTTAAATCTAAAACATTTATTTTTCGTTTTTCGCATCCTCTTAGCCCTTGCATTCCTTGTTTACAGCGATAATTCAACCAAAATCCCCCAATAAAATCCTTCTTTCTTCCGCTTAATGCCAACTTATTTCCCCTTAATTTATATTGTTAAAGTTCACTCTTCTCATCCCATCAACCACAGAGAAGGTCGCTACTCTAAGTCAACACAAATCAGTTGTCAGTCATCAAAACCGGTGGATTCCCCCATCTCATAATTATTTAAATTTGCATTTTAAGAAACAATTAAACCGAGAAAAGAAGGAAGTAAAAGAATCCCCTTTCAAGTCAAAAAAAAAAAAAAACGAGACAAGCTCCACTCAGCGCAACAATTTCAATGTGATAGATCAATTGTCTGGGCCCCCGGGAGGAAACCGAAGCGGAAACCTGGCTTGGAGCTATATCTATCCCCTCTGTCTCGTCTAACTCACTATCTATAGGAATTACCCAGACAACACGTCAAATCTTCGGCTTGACTCTTGGCTTTCCATCCCTAGCCCCGCAGAGAAGTCAACACTTTTCCACCGAGCATTCCCTTCGGGGTTCATCTTTTTCCCGCCCGGTTTCTTTTTCTTGCTCCAGTGAATCTTTGCCGTCTCGATTTGGTCTTGGTCTTGTACTTGGTTTTCTTTTACCTTGCTTTTCACCTGTCCGTCGTGTGGAAATCATGTGAAAACATGTGGCCGCCAGTCAAGCAGTCAGCCAGTCAGCCAGTCCAAGTCCAGTCACTCACTCATCCACTCGTTCACTCATTCAGTTAGCCAAGATTTGCCAGCGCCGCAGCAACAATGGGGATCAACAAATTAAAGTAATTTCCTACCGCAACGATTCCACCAGCTTACACTTTCCGAAAGGTTAAGTTCAAATTTCCAAACATTTTAATATGGTAACACTTCGGTTTTTCTTCAAAAGAGGGTATTGCAATATATGTTGAGGTATTGAGGTTTTCTTTTAAATTTCTTGGCTCCATGTCGGATGATTTTCTTCGGATTTTCCAATGCCTTAATTGGAGCTTTTCATATGCCAAGAGCATGGTCTTCGACTGAGCTATGCAGCTATTAAATTTCAAGACAAAGACAAATAAATTTAAGGCAACGACTTGTTTCAATGACTCCTTGGGAAATTTCACAAATCAAATTATTCTTTGGGCATAAACAAATATTGTCTTTGCATTTTTTGAAATATATCTGTTGAAAGGGGCTAACAAATTAAATTAAACTTAAAATAAATAACAAGTATATTTAAATAAAGAAACTAAATAGTAAAACTGTTTTTAAATGACTTGATAAAAATAAACAGTTGAAAGACAAACTTGGTTATAAAACGATTTGCAATTTATAGTATTTCCATAAAAGTTTATCTTTGTTTTCCATTTTCCTTGCAGGAAATGGCAACCAAACAAAATACCGAACTTTAAATGGTAAAATAATAAATACATTCGAAGCATTACGTGATTTCATTTGCATAGTTCTTTTCAGCACCCTGCCAGGCTATCCGTACACTGTTCTCGAGGCAACGCGGTGTCGTCATCACGGCGTCATCTCTGCCTGGCAAATGGTGTCAATCTCACGAGTCGTTGGAAATTAATAAAGCGACTCAACGGCGGTGGCAGCGTCATCTGTATCCGATAGATACATTGGCTCATAAGCATAAATAATGCGATCGCAGTGGCAAATCTAGCTGCGACTCTGTGCCGCAGCTTTTTCAGCTATGCGTCAGCCAATATTGGGGGCGTCTGCGGGGAGGGGGCGTGGCCGGAGCTTTGACTGACATTTATCGCCAGCTTCAATTGTTGCTGCTGCTGCCCGGCAGAGAGTTGCAACAGAGTTTGTTTTTCTTTTCTGTTTTATAGTGTTTTTCATTTTTTTTTTTTGTTTCTGTTTTTTGTCGGTTTTTGGTTTTGGTCTTTTCGGTTTTGTGTTTTGTATTTCGTACTTTTGGTGGCTGGGTGCTGACGACGGCGACGAGGCTCAACGTTTTGGAAAATTTAGCACAAGGTTGCCACAAAGCAGCCAACAAAATGAGCAATTGTGGCAACACACAGTCGAAGTTGAAATTGAAATTGAAGCTGCAAAACGCCAATACACTACAGTTGTTGTTGCATTCAAATCGCTGTAGTAGTTGTTGCCCAAAGTCGTAAATAAATAAATACTTAATTATGTTGTTTTGGCCGCACCGTTTTTGGCCCGCCAAAGAACTGGAAGTTGCGGCAGTTGAAAATACATTGCGCATACGCCATGTTCAACAGCACGATCAGCACTCGCGGCGGTGAGGTGAGAATCGAGACCTTTTCCCAGCCAGTCACTCAGGACAGGAGCCAAACACTTGTTGCCAATTAATCAGGCACTTGAATAGTTAAGTTAAGACCTGTCGCAAACATTGCGTATACGACTTGGAGGCCAGAAGGAAATTGGCAGGCAGAAAATGTAGGCGCTGTGGAATTTAAGTAAAGCGTATGCCAAACAAAAAAAGTCAATAAAATAATTTAATTCAGATAATAATAATAACAGATTAAGCAATTAAATAAATTACATTTAAGAGGCCAAAAGCTAATGTAGCTATCGCTGTAGCTTTAGTTTGTAACTTTAAGCTAACAGTATTACGTTAAAATAAATTTTAAAATATAATTTTCCAAAGTTCGATTTAAATATATGAAACTTAAATTTTTCCATGACTACTGTCTGACTGACAGGATAAACAGGTGCTTAATCTGTGCGTTCCTGTTTAGCCGCATAACATGTCAAAAACAAGAAACATTTTATTTCCAAAAGCGTTGAAAGATATACATATAAAAAAAAGTTAAGAAGAAGCGTTTAAAACAGAAAATATATATTATATATATATTGTATATTTTATAATTAGCTATACAGTCTTTGATCTATGTAACTATAAAAAAGTTGACAAAATCTCCTCAGTAGCCATATTGAAGATAACTATAATTCTAAGAACTCAACGCTATGCTGATCTCTTATGTACTTGAGCATACAAAACCTCACTTAATCTGCCATCTAGAATGCGATGAGCAACACTTTCGGTTGCGAAACGCCATTGAGGCGACGCAACGGAGTGTGGTAAGCATCCTCTGAAATCCACAGTCACTGACAGCTGCTTACGGCTTACTGATGCTGATGGTGATGCTGCTGCAACTCCACCTACAGCCGAGATACAGATTTGTGGCAGACAGCGGGGTGAGATGCAGCAGCATCCGCTGTTACTTCAGAACAAAATGCAAAAACAAATGCGATGGGGAATGAAGCCAACGACCGCAAACGTGCAGCGACAACAACAAAAACAGAGCGCTCCAAAAAATGCAGCAGCCAAACAAACCTTTTCGACTGGGATCGGAATTCGCTTCCTCCCCCTTGAATGCCCCCTCTGCCCCCTCGACTGTCACGAACCGGAAGTAAAAACGTGCCAACAGAAGATGCGAACTGCTGCTGATGCTGCCGCTGCTGCGATGTTGCCGCTGCGATGTTGCTACTTTGCTACTGCTGATGTTGCTGCATCTGCATCTGCGGCGCTCGCGAAAGCAGGAAAGCAGCAGCAAGTGCCAGTCGCAAGGCTCTCTGCATTCCCTAAGTGAATAAGGGATGGGGTACACTGAAAAAAAAGCAATCAATAACATCATTTTGGGCCTTCAATATTAAGCACATTTAGTTATTTTATATTAAATGTTTTTAATTTAAAGGCGATATAAGCTATGAGTTAAACAGTCAAGTAAAACTATAATAATCCATTTCCAAATTTAAAATATAATGTATAGGTAGTTGCACGTTTTTAGCAACAAAAAAAAAAGGTTCTTTTATAATGCTCTTCATAAAAATGTGACTTTAATATTTTCAAAATAAAAACTTGTATTACGACAAAAATGTCTTTAAATTTGCACCCCCAAAATTCAGTCAAATTTTAATTTTATGTTTTGTATTGTAAGTATTTGTATAACTTAATATGTAATAGAATTGAGCTATATGTACGTGGTGATGTAAATAATATTTGAACTAAATACATGAAACAAATGTTACATTCATTTTTTCCCAGTGCAACTGCTCTCTTTACAGAATAGAGTTTGGCCACAAAAAAACTTTCAAGTCACCGTTGCACTTCCCCTCAAACTAAAACTAAAACCGAAACCGGGAAGAGAGCAAAGCAATTCCCAAGCATCATCATTTTGCACTTGTCTCCTCGCTTCTCCCTTCTCCCCACTTATTCCCCACTTGTTTCTCTGCTGTTCGCCTGTTACAATTTTAAGCTATTTTTATTGAAAACGAGCGATATTCTCAGCCAGAGAAAGAGCTGCAGAAAAGCTGAGCAGCAGAGTTGATGAAACTGTGTTAAGTGCATACTTTGGGTTTTCACAATAAAGTAGCAGACCCCGAAAACCGCCCGAAAACCCCTCGAAAACTTCATTCTTGGAGGGTTCCTGGATAGCTTCATTGTCACTGAGTTGCAGCGAAAACTTTACTCCCCAAGAAAACTCAACAAATTTGAATGATTCCATCAGATATACAGACACGAGCACATAGTCACATTTCTATATGTATTTGTATATATTCCCAGAGTGCAATCTTCAAGACCCCACAATTTCCCGGTTTCTCCCTCAGCCCTCTCCCCTGTTGGTCGTGATTTTTCTTTTCAAACAAAAACTGCGCTTATTACGCCAGCCCCAATGCATTAGAAGCTCCTCTTCTCGAATTCTGAAGGGAGAAAACCCGGGTAAGGGGCTATTTGAGGAGGGCTGAAGTGGCAGCCGTTGCTTTTTAAGCTGCTCACACTCAACCCAGCCAAACTCAGTCCCCGCACACAGCTGCCAAGTAGCCGAGACTAAAAACCGAGCACCGAAACAGCAACAGAGAAACAGATATGGGGACAGAGACGACACTGCGACCGAGGCCCGAGGCTCTGTCAGTGGGTTTATATACAGTGGACACTCGACAGGGTGCATAGGGTCAAAGAAATAAATTAAAAGCAACGCAAAATAAAGGCAAAGATTAGAATTTGTATATAAGGACTTATAGAATTATACTTTACCAGTACAATATTGTAAAGTATATAATTCACATACATAAAAACATAGTTATTCTGGATTTATAGAACACATTGACAGGACTAAAAATATCTTTTCTACACAAATTACGATATATGCTTAGAAATGCAGTTAATCTTTTTTTATAAGAAAACAACCTTATCTTATTTTATAAACAAAATGCATAATTTAACTAAAAATATGGAAAAAATCAAAACATAAAAACATTTTAAATTTGTTTTTTAATTATTTTCAAAAATGGAATACTATTTTTATATATACCAAATAATTAATAATAATTAATAATAATAATTTTATATATAACTAAGGTTTGAAATGAAAAATTTGTGTCAACAGCCATATTTGAAATGCAATTTCTGTGAGATTGGTTTTCAATGAATCTCCCTTATTTTTGAGGTTTTGTCTATGGAGTCCTCCCTGTGTTAGCTTCTGCTTCAGCTGCTGTTTCTGTGACTGCATCTCGCCTCATTTCGATTCATTTGCGCTTGTCTCAGTCTTCAGTCCCAGAATCCCTGAATCTCAGCCTCATTCCTGGACTTCCTTTGGCCAAAGCGTGTGTGTGTTTGTGTTTTATGAGAGTTTGGGTTTCCCTGTGGCTTTTGTGTTCTGCAGTTTAGCTCCTATATTTCCAGTTTTCGCACATTTCATCCCGTGCTCTTCTGTATATTTGGCAATACTGGCAAGTGGAGAGAAAGAGCCTACATCCATTTACCCATGAGAACTCAGAGCCGTGAATCCAGAAGTGAGAACCCAGAAGTGAGAACCCCGCGAACCGAGAACCCAGAACTGAGAAACGAGAAACGAGAGAACCCGAGAGCTGCGTTTCCAGCTAATATATATGGTAGACGAACTGCAGGGCTGTTCGTCCAATTCATACCCCCGATTTCTGTGAGTGGAGTGAGCTGCTGCCCAGTTCTGAACGCCTGTTCTCAAACGACTCAAACTGAGAGAGAGATAAAAGCATGCTGTGCAAGATGATGCTTCTGTGTTGATAAGACCCATCGAGTGTCGCAGTGTGTGTTTGTGGAAATTGAGCACAATTCCTATACGCACAAAGTATCTCGTGGATAACCCGCCACCACCTACTTATTTACTTGGGGATTCATCCGTAGGCTGAGATTGAGTTTGAAGCTGGGCCACTAGGCAGAGAAAAAACAACAGAGAAGTAAATACTTCTCTGAGTGAATTATGAAGTTGTCTTCGGTGGTTACGTGGGTGGTTGCCCCCCAGGCTCTTTAAGTCTCGATTTATTGTTGTACTTAAAACAGAGTCACTTCTCGGCTAGGTCCCTCTATAAAAAAGCAGAAAACACAGAAACAGACGACTTTGTATGGCAAAGAAAGAGTTTTCATCATCGGGAAATGCCCCGAGACCGTTAGCTGAGATCATAAAATAGAGATGAAAAACTCTGAAATGTTTTTTGTCGTAGCTGTAAATGCAACTGACACACAAAGGCAAAAGACGCACCAAGATCACGAGCTGAAAACGGTTGTGGATGTGACTGTGACTGTGGAAATGGAAATGGAAATGGAGCTGCTGATGCCCGGCCACATGCAAATGCATTCTTCTAGGCCACGCTAATGATCACCGCGATGACAAAGATCATAATGATGCGGCTTTTGATGGTGGATCCCGGCCGATGACTTGCCATCCGAGGAAAAGGTCTGGAAGTGTCCAATAAAATCTGAGCTTGACATCGTTTATCACTTACTTTTCTCGATCTACTGGTCACATAAAAACACTTTTTATGGCCGACAAAAATTGCATTAGGACTCAAAATTTTAAAAGCATTCGATATTGTAATCTTTTTCCACTTAACGAACAACAAGCATGGTTAATTATTAAAAAGGTGCAATCATTAAATTTATGTCTACTAGAAATAACTTAAATAACCAAATACGATTTGTAATAACATATTTTATTATTATTGAAATTGTTATAAAACTTGACATTGTTTATCACTCTTTTTTCTCGCCCATATAAATTCACTTTTTTATGAGTGCGGAAAATTGTTATAATCATGAAATATTAAAACCCGTTTCCAATTAACAAATAATAAGCATATAACCAGTAATAATAGATTAGACAATTAACATGGTTCAATTTAAGTATTTATGTTAACAAAGATTAACTGAAATTTCTATAGAAAACAAAAAATAAATAAGAATTTCATTAAAGAGAAACAAAATTCAAGCAACAAGTTATAAATAATAATAAATTAAAGCCAATAAAAAAACTTATATATTTCAAAAATTATTAAAAAAATACATGCATAATAATTTTAACTTTAAATTTTAAATTTGTTGAAGTAGACAAATAAACCTTTACTAATAGGGAGCATGATGTTTAATTTGCTTACATTTTAATTCATTTAGAAGGTTGATTATTTCACTGTTTAGTCAGTTTTGAAAAAACTGTGTTGGCTTTATATCAGCCATAAATAAATATGTGAATATGTCGGCAATAAAATCATTCCCCCCAAATTGGCTTTGGCAACTTGCAAATACAAGTCAGGAAATATTTGCCTATCCAGTTATGACCCCCCAAAATGTCTCATCTGCATGTCCGGCAATTTGCTATTGCTCCTTTGACATCCAACTATGGCAAACAACTCGTCCGTTTGCAGATGATGCCGAGATGAAGCCGGCCGATGGATGATCCCATCTGGGGTTCAGCATGGACTTTCACTTCGCTGGCACACAAATTACAGCTAATTATGCAGCATCTTAGCCGAGATTGGGCAACTCCTGGCCTGCCAGTCTGCAATTTGGCCATGTGGTTGGGGGCTAATGCTGAGGCTAACAACGCTGATGCTGGGGCAAATCTGGGGCCGATCTGGTCATGTGGGTTTTTCGCCATAAGCCAGAAAGGCAAACAAAGCTTAGGCCTGTGCCGGTAATAACTTTGTTTGAGCCTGCACTGCAGTTTGAGGCCATTATAACAAAATTTTTGTTTGCAAAATATTCCGACTTTCATTTTCAGTCTGAGCTGCGTTGAAAGTTGATTCGCAGATAGACTGTATCTTTTGGACTGATCGCGTTTGTCTGCCGTTACTTTTCTCAAGGTCAGCTGGCTGCCTGGAATTGTTGCTAAGTTAAAGAATGCGTTGACAATATTTTTTGTTCAACTTAATTAAAAGACAAACAGCACAACAAAAGTGTGAGGCACACAAAACACAAGAAAACCGAAACTGATAAAAGGTTTTATCAGCCAGCCAGCGCGGAGACATTAACCACGATAATTATACAAAACATGTGAGCCGCTTGTGGACCTGCAGACAATTGGAAACAGGCCATAAAGCAAAAGCATAGTCGACCGCAGATACAGATACAGATACAAATTGTATCTAGTGCAGTAGTGATAAGCGCTGGGGACACGTGTGTAATGTGGGGCGCAGACTATCTGTAGATAGATATGTATCTGTGTACCTTCTAGCGGTAGTTCAAGGAAATGTTTTGCTCAAATACGCAGATACTGTGCCCCAGCCATCGAAGCAAAGACCAATTTGCAAATACTCCTCGCGCGAACATGAAACTTTATCTCACTGCTCTTGGGAACCGGCGATAAAAATCCAATTTTGATAAGCTCCTAAATTATGTATAAAACGAACGATCCGATCCCAAGGGTTTATCTTGCGGTTTTGCCCGAAACGGCTTATCAGGCCGTCTTTATCTCGGTCATTTCACAACGTACTATAAATTAATTTCTCAATAATTTGCCTAATTATAAGACGTTTTATGACTTTTCGAAATATTTGTTTTCATTTTATAGTGTTTGTATATTAAAGAAAGAGTTGTCTTGAGATGGCAAAGCTTAAGGTACCCTTTTTTATTTTTTATAATAATAAACAAATAATAATATATCAAAATATATCTAAATTTTTTGAATATCAACCTATTATTTTATATTTATATTGAAGGGAACAAAAATTCGAATTATCTTGTATTTCAATCTTTTCTGACCATCAACTGTTTGAATAAACCTTTTTTGACATCTTTACAAATGACTAAAGGTAGAAATAGAAAAAGGATTTCCTTTTCTGATTGTTAAAAAATCTAAAACATTATTCAGGGGTATACAAAATGCTGGGATAGGGTAAAAGGGAAAGGATTTCCGTCCTTTGGCATCACCCCATTTCGATCAGTTCTTCGGTCCTCGACATCCTCCTGCTCGAATGGTCAATGCTGCTCCCGTTGCTGCTTCTGTCACCAGACAGCGTTCCCAGTGCACTTCGCCCCAACTCCTCCCTGTGGCAAAGAGCGGTCATCATCAACGGCCAAACCATCAATATCGATGTGTGTGGTCCCGTGGACAGGGTCTGAAAACTGGGATGGGAACTTTGGATGGGGACGTGAACTGGGGACTCTTTATACTCAGTTGTCGGCGCCGCTGGAATGTTGTTAGTTATAAAATGGCCACAAAATCATAACGCGGGCGTGGGCTGCCACTGGCCTCTGTCTCACTTCTCTTTGTTCCTGCACTGCGAGAAAAACATAAATTAGTAATAGATTAAATTTACAAAATTTACAAATTAAGTCTTTATTGTTTTCCGTATAATTAAAATAATAAAAATATAAGAAAATTAAAATATATTTATCAAATTTTCACTACCACTAAAACTTCGGACACAAGATAAAATGTTTCAGACTTAAATTAAATTTCATAGCGTTTTATGCATTCATTTCTCAATTGTAGCGAAAAAAAGCTAGGCCAACAAATCTATAGTGTGTAAAAAATAGTAAGTTAAAAAATATCAAAATAATATTCAAATAAATCCGAACTTTTCTCTCCCTGTGGAACCTGAAACCCCGAACCTGATATAACCGATGACGAGTTGTTGCCTCCGTCGAGGTCTCTGTCCACAATATATGTTCTGGCCGACTCTCTCCCACAGCATCCACGCATCTTTGGATGATTCGACTGGGGGTTTTTGTTTAATGGAACCCAGTCCGCGGGACGAGTGTGAATTGAAATGTATTTTTTACATACCCGTACATGTGTTCTATGCCAGTCGATTGGATCTCGAAAATCAAATCAAAACTCGTCGTCGTTTTATGGGTTTTAGAAACTCTAGGAACTCGTTTTGTTCAGTTTGGTTCTGTTTTTGTTTTCCCTCGGTCTCTGTTTGTTGTTCTCGTTATTATTATTATTATTATTATTTTCTATTCCCATTTCCATGTGTCGGCGGCGGCGTTGGTGGCTCGCTTTGAATAATGATGATAAGGCCCCAGACTCGCCTCTCAATCCGAAACGATTCCAACCAATCCGTCCACCCAACCAATCCAGCCATCCATCCATCCATCCAGCCAGCCAGCCAGCCATCTATCCATCCATCCCACTGCTCTCTCTTCGCGGCTTGATTATTGATTTATTGTCTGTTTTTTTTTTTGGGTCTGTGTCGCACAGGTAAACGAGAAATCGTCACGGATACGCAAAACGGTCAGCTCACCGAAATGTATCTCGGAGTTCGCTTTTGTATCTCCGGCGACTATGCAGATACATTTTTGAAGCGCACGCTTCAGCATTTCTGTTGATGTTGTTGTCATCAATTTAACAACAACGACATCGTCGGACAACAAAAGAAGAGCCCAGAGAACCGAAACTGAACTGAACTGAACTGAAGCCACCGAACAGCCGAGAAAAAGAAAACATTCTTCGTCTTGATCCCGAACGTTCTCATAATTTGTTTGTCCCCCCCATGCCCATGCCCATGCCCAAACGCAAACCCAAACCCATACCCATACCATTTGGCCATTGTGCGACCGCGGACTGTGAGAAAGATTTTATTTCGTTCAAGTGGTTTTTGATTTAACACCAAACAACCAGCCGAAGAGTGGAAAATATTTTAATGATGCGTCGTCGTCGTCGTCGTCGTCTTCGTCGCTGCAACTGAAAAACAAAACAAAAAAAAAGAGGAGAAATAAATGGAAAACAAAAAAAAATTTCTAACTTGTTTTTCGGTGGCCTTTCTTTTTTCCGCTTCTTCGGAGCCGTTGTTCTCAATTTATTTGTGGTTTGATTCGGAAGACATTCATTCGTTCGATTGATTAGCTCGCTGGGAAAGCTGGCGATCACTTTCGAATCGAGGTCGTATTATATGGGATTTGTCACCCCTTTTGTTTTGTTTTTTTTTTGTCGAGGGGGTTTGAGTTGTGTGGCCATGTTTCCGCTCCGGAAGGGTTAAACTCAAATGGGAAGTACCGCACTCGACAAGCTGCCAATGAGGTCCTACTGCTGCCCCAGGATCCTGGTTCCTGTCCGATGCGGTTTAACATCTGTCACGACTGCTTCCTTCCTGGGACCAAAAAAAAATATATATTAACAACCAAAAAGAAAAAGAAAACAACGACAATAACAACTGAAACCGCATTAAGGGCTTTAGACTTAGCCAGGCAAAATATTGAGCAGCTTTTATGAGGTATTTTAACAATAATTGACATACATTTATGACGATAAGGAAGGGGAGAACCGGGCTTATTGGTTCAATGATCAAGTTGGTCAAGTATAATTATAAAAGATGGTGATAAACAAAACCCAATTGCCGATTGGCATGACTAAACAAAACCATAAACAATCTTTGGTGTTAATCTTAACACAGTGTATATAGTTACTGAGACATTTAGTTGTTTGTTCATTAATGCATAGCATGTTTTGTTATGTTCTCCAATTACATTGCACAAATTAGGGTAATCCCATTTCGCCTTATTGAATTCATATTTTTTGCTTACATTTTTAAGCATTCAGAATTGTAATATATTTCACAGCTCAAGTATGCAAAAACTTCCCCAGGGTTCTACCTCTTCCCGCTTTTGATATAAAGCCGACTGCTTAATTCACCCCTCCCGCTGACCATTACCTTGTCCCCCTCGCTCGATTCCCCTCTCACGACTCCTTCAACTAATGTGACACTAATCATGTGACCTCGAGTGCCGCTGGCCACATTTTTATGACCGCTTTGCACGCTGTTTACACACGACAATCGTCGATCGACCAAAGTTTTCCAACATTCTCGGGAAAAATGAACAGAACAGAGAACGGAAAGAAAAGAAAACGCGATCCATTCAAGAAAGAAATGCCATTCTAATGCTTTCTTCTCGCTGTGCCTCTATTGTGGCACCTTTTCATTGGGTTCACCGGGGAAAATCAACAAACCAAGAATGGGAAAATGTGTTAAGGGGCAGAAAATGGGACTGAGAAGGTTTCTGTATTGCGTAGGTTGACAGAAGGAAAAGAATAGTTCGATGTTTACACCGAAAAAAATAAGATAAAGAATTATTCTGCGAAACCTTTAAAAAAATATTAATTTTCATTGCATTTTTTCTTAGATAAATTTATTTTTTACCGGCAGAACCAAATTTACATATTAACATGAAAAAAATGCTTCTCAATTTTTATTAATTCGGCAGGCAGTTTAAAAGTTCAAAAATATATTATTATTATTATTTATTTATTATTTATTTATTTAAAATGTTGATAAGCACAAATTAAGTTTACTTCAATGATATTTTATTTGTTCATTACTAGTTTGTTAGTTACTAGTTTTTATAAGGAAAATATTTTTAAAAATTCAAGTTTTTTCATTTTTTAAATAAAACAATGAAATATTAAAAATTTTCCAGTGCAATGTTTGATATCCACCTTTCATGTTTTAGTTGCCTACTCGAAAACCTATAACGCGTGTCTGAGCAACCAATTAGTGCAGTGAGTGGGAGAGAGATAGGCAGAGAAGGAGATGGAGAGAGGCAGAGGTGCGCATGCGCATGCGCGACCTTTTGTGTCCTGTTTCAGGGGTTCCATGATAACAGGACAACGAGATCTCCTTAAACTGGTGACGCTGATGAGCCGCAAACTGCGCAGGAACCTTCTCTCTCTTTTCCCGCTCCGCGCTCTCCTTTTCCCCTCGCGATTGACAGGCCGCATTTAGGGGATAATATCGGCGCACAAGCAAGATCCCAACCCCTGGAGAATCGAGGATCGGGAATCGAGAATCCAGAATGGAGTGTGTGTAGGCAGGAGACGCAGCAGGACGCGCTCCACAAAATTTCATTAAACATCTGCTTGGCTCATCATCATCCTTCTTACCTTTTTTTTGTTTTTTTTTTTATTTTTCGTCCTGTCGAGGACATGTGCGTTTTTAGTTATTGAAATTTTTACTTGTTTGTCCTGTCTCTTGGCTCTATGCATTGTGCATTGAGTATTTAATTGCAGATAATATCGACAAAACAAAACAGCAGGCGGACGACGGAGGCCAGAATCAACAGCTGAAGTGCCCGGAAATGCATCTGGGCAGAATGAGGGGAGTCCCCTTCGGTCTTCTTTCTGCAGTCTGATCTCCAGGATTCCCCTGCCATCCTGTCTCCCCTCTTGACATTCGTTTTGTTCGCCATGGAGGCTCGAGCACGTGTCAATAATTGTTCAGATGCCGAATGGGGAGCTCGCAGGTCCTCGAAAAATCAGCTGTCGTTTGGGGAGAAAAGGTGAGTGATAAGCCAGTTGAAACCGTACAACTCGCATTATTTTATTTAAGATAAATGGTTTAAGTTATAAGCCACACATAGAAACCATTGTTCTGTTATAGGGTAAACATGGGCGGCAATTTAGGCAAACTTATTCTAGAATATTTTTCAATGAATTAATGTCTTAAAATACATAAGAATAACAAAGGAATTAACTTATTTTAATAACCATATAAACATTAAATAGTTTATAATAAATTCAAAATTATTTTAAATAAGATAGGCAACAAAGCAAATTGAAATTTTATGCTTAAAAATAGTAAAGTAAATTATATGTGCATAGGCCTGAGCACCCCTGATTTAGTTAAACAAACTCACAGTGGCTTTAGGTAACATTAAATTTGCTTTCACCAAACTTTACATGCATTTCACAAATTGCACTTTAATTTTGCAATAAAAATGCATCTTTTACCAATAAAAGGATTGTTATCGAGCAATAAAGTAGTTAACTCTGTAATTTGAGATTTTAGTAAGAGCTCTTCCTCCATTTAATTGATATTCCAGCTTCCTAGATAACTCTCCTTCAAATTAGTCAATTTCCTGTAGATCAATGCCTGCTGTTTATTAAACACATACATCAACCTCCAATTGGAATGAAAATCACAATTCGATTGATATATTTACCCAGCCTAAGTCCCCCAACAGATCGCGTATTTGCGTTTGGCAAGATCTGCCAGCAAACGAATGCAAATTAGTTGCGCACTTGGTCAACAGTTAACTCATCATCGCCAAACAACTTCCAGCTGCTTCTTTTCTGAAAAACTAACGGCAAAGCTAAAGCCGAGCGACGAAGAAAAAATAGAAGAAGAGAGAAGCCCGCAAAGAAGCTAATGTAATTGTGTTTGTATATGCCATAAAGTTGGCAACACTTGCTGTGCTGTACTGTGAATATGTTTACCCACCTAAGACCCCCTCCTTTCGACGCCCACTTTTACCCTCTGTACCCCCTTTTTTCCGCCCACTTTTTCGTTTCCCCTTTCCGCCCTTTCAGTTCCCCTCATTCAACGCTTGCAAATGAAGTTCACGAGATGGTCAAGACGATAATGTTGGCGAGCGCATTTGCCAAGTCATGACTGCTGCGATTTCTGCTGCTGCTGCTGCGGCCTCTGATGTTGCTGCTGCCTCCGATGTTGCTGCTGTCCTGACACCGCAGCAACATCAACATCAGCAACAGCAACACAAGCGAACGAGTTTCTGTCGCTTTTGCTGTTTGCTGTTGCTGCTGCTGTTGCTCTTGTTGTTGTCCATTTTGTCGCCATCGCTGTGCCCTCAAAAAAAGAAATAGTTGGAAATCAAATCAACAAAAAAAGTAAAGCAACACCAACCAGCAATTGTCCAGCAGAAAATAGGGGAAAACCGATATAGCTAATACACTTAAGAGTTCATTTCTTAAAGTCTTTAAGTTCAATTATTCAAAAGCTATATTAAACTGATTAAATGGGAAAGCATTAGAAAACTTGCTAAAATAAATCACTAAAAAATTGATTTATATTTGTTAATAAGTTTTCAAATTCAAACCAGAAAATTTGCTAAAAAGTTTCAGAGTTAGGAACATTATTTTAATTTAGAAAATGATTACCTCTTATAAACTATTTATATTTTTTTTCTCCAACCCTTTATTTATTTGTACAACCTTTTTGAAGAGTATCATTGCTACAAAAGCAACACAACAGCGACAAATCTATGTAAAACTCAATTGAAGTGCTCCCATCGTCGCTCCACATTTTTACTTAGCTTTTGCCTTTTGTTTGATTTAGCTTATGCCCGAGCCACACCCCCTGCCCCGCCCTGCCCGCCGCCCCTCCTCTAAGCCCCTTGCAGCCCCCTCTTAACCCAAAGTATGCATGGCAAACTTGGCGTTCCAAAGCTGAACTGCACTTCCAGTGCCCATTCACCAACACACACCCAAACCGTCACACAGATACACACGAATACACTCTCACACAAATGAATCTCCGCCTCGTCGTCGTCATACAAATATTTAGTAGAGTATGAAGTAGTTCGGGTTGGGTACATGAAATGAGTTGACCTCGCTTGACCTCGTTTCAGTTTCTTTTTGCCCGTGCCTTTGCTTTTTGTTGCCCTCTCTACTCTTGTTTTTCCCCTCGCTTATTTTTTGTGTTTTGCCCGTTGTAGCATTTATTTTATTTGTGCAAACGTTTTTAATGAAATTTCATTTCTCCCGTTCCTCGGTGCCCCCCATTGTCTCATTTTCTCTCCGATTTCAATTAGAAATCTT